GTAGTACACCCACACTTGTTACTTGTTCTCATATACGGGGCGGTTGACAGCAGGAAAAGTGTCACCCCAATAAAACAGAGGAAATGTACAAATTGGAAGTAGGTGCCTCAACTTGTTTATTTGATGCATTCAAATTGCAGATGTTTTTCAGAAGATTAAATGCTCATTAAGCAACTTTAAACACAGGTAGCAGTTATGAGACCATCACACTTATTTTATTAACAAGTGTTTAGATGCTTTGATTGCTGACAGGCAAATGGTGGAAAGTTAAATGATTACGACACTAAATGTTTTGTTTTAATATATATATTAAGAGAAAAACTTTTTAAAAAGTAAAGCTGTAAAACCACAACTTCAAAAGCAGAGTTGCTTGTTTCAGACACATTTACATTTTTTCACTCTTTTTTAGATCTAACAAGTTTGAAAAGGTTTTTGGGATTCAACAATAGCTTCTGTAGCTTCATATCTACGTAAGGGACTAATTAGTGGATAAAACCAAACTGTTGGAGTCAAGGTTCAACTTTTACACTTCTGTGTTCATTCAGTGGTCAAACAAATTTTAGAGACATCTGCTGCTTCATTTTGTTGAGGATTTTTAGTCTTGTGCTGCTCAGTTATGCATTTTTGGGCCACAATAACTTCAACTGTGGGTGTAATTGGAGTCTGAGGAAGAATAAGGATTACTACCTGCTTTTTGGATGAACCCTCAGAATGAATCAGGTCATACCTACATGTATAGTCAGATTCTGTTGTTCGGTGTAGTTTGGTGTTTTCTTTCTAAATTGTTGGTGCACAGTGATTTAAATCATGTGCAGGTGCAATCATAAGAAAAACTGTCAATTGCATGAAGGATTGTGACCAAAGCACTTGGGCAAGTCCAGCAGCATCTGAAAACAAAGACGAAGCATCCTTTTGCATCATTGCTGGCCAAATCCACCCTCTGTCTAATTTAAGCTAAAATGGTCTTTTATGTTAGACACTTACTTAGTACCTTCTTTGACTACTATGGTTGCTGTTTAAATATGGAGTGTTTGTCTCTGTGTTGTATTGCATTTAGCCACATTTCCACCTGCATCTCATTACTTTTTACTCAACTGCTTCTGCTCATTCATATGCCAGAGCAGGCTGACATGCCGCTTGTTTTTCTTTGTTCCATCTCACAGCTTCAGTCTTTTTTTTGCTAACTTTTCATGTATCTAATTAATCCCAAACATGTCTGCTTTTTTTACTTAATGTTTGTAGAAAACAAATGTTTAAATATGAGATTTTTGCCGAAACCTTCAGTTCTTTACCTTTTACTTCACTGAATTAAAATCAGTATGTGTCTTATTGTCAAACTCTTTCTCTAAAGTGTGTAATGATTTTTTTGGTGAAAGAATCATCATGAATGTCAAACAGAAAAATCTGATAACCAGAAATCTTTGATTTAAAAGCAAACTTAACACGCTGAAAGGCATGCTAGGACAGACTATTTCTGCAGCTAATATTATGTGCATTAATCACAGGACGGAGCCCTGCATTCATGAGGAGGTTTCAGTTTTATGATGTAGCTACGCATTAGTCACACTATGAAAAGAATCAGCAGCAGCCCCTTTGCAGGATATCTAGGTCAGCTGTCTGAGGGAGAGTGCAGCTCTGAAACTGGTCTTTAAGTTCTTCGTTTTTTATTCTATCATGTCATTGAAAGTTAGGTATCACTGCAGAAGAAGCATTATTCAGGCAAATGCTAATTAACAAATGTTCAATCCTATTTCCTTCAAAGAATTTAATTTATGTGAATCTCGCATAAATCTGAATTGAGTAACCCAAAGTCATCTAATTTTAAACTGGCCTCTCAAGTGCCATCAACATGACTTAATGACTCAAAATGATACGTCATTTTGAGTCTTAAAGTATAAATTCCAAGCACTTTTTAAAACTGCAAACGTCTCCAGGTCATACTTTTAGGTAAAACAACATTAGTGATCATGAGCTTGAATTTTAAAGATATTTTAGTATCTTTGATCTTTTATTTTCAGTTCACCTTCACATACTCTAGAGTCATGAACATTAATAATATGCAAAGTTGTCCTCCATTAAAATGTACATTAGGTGAGAGCTTCAAACCTGCTTAGAAGAATCTGACCTCAAACGCTGTTAAGAAAAGCTCTGGCTGGATCTGCTGGCCTTAAGGTCTAATCTGAATAACTAAAAAATACACATACAAAGAGAAAAAAAAAACTATCCCACTTTTCCTTTTTATGCTGAATGTATTATATAGATCTGAATACATATCCATCCTTGACCTGATATGAAAGTCTAATTAAAGCTGTTTCAGTATGCAAACCTGTGCCCTGTAAACAAACTTCAGTGACATAATTCACCGCTGCTCTACCAGGAGATAACGGGGAGTTGGGGGAGGCATTAAAACACCTTGAGAACCATCACAGGCTTGCACAGGAATAGTACTTTCTTAGATAATCAATTGCATCTCTATTGTGAAAAAGATATAGCCCAAGGGAGCCATTACACCAACAAATATTTCTGTTAAGCATGTGAGATATGATCTAGGCTGTTTTATCTCAGACACATATGGACTCAGCTCTGGCAGATTGTGGCCCAATAATAAAAAGGAATCTTTATTTACGATGGGATGGTGTAATTCATGCTAAGTTTTTAGGGTTTCAGGACTTTTCCAAGCTTTTCTAAGCCTCACATATATATAGCCCTTTTTTAATTAGCACTGATTCCATTTGTCAGCAACAACTTGGTGTGTTAAGTGTCATGTATGCAAGTAATTGCCCTGAGATTAGTTTTTCTTGCCATAAATGGAAAATATATTTCCACCAATACCCACACTTTAAAAGCTTCATCCTCTACAAGATTTATCTTCCACACAAATTGGATGCCTATGGAAAAAGTGCAAGCTGCACACTAAATAATTAAACTAATTCAGCTGAGGAAATTATGTTGATTGGGATGATGTCATTAGTCTAACAGGGGGAGATGGCAGCATTGTAGAAACACCACGCAATCCATTAAGGGTCAGATTATATGTTTTCAAATTGAAGAGGATCTTTAATTACCTCTAATTAAATTGGCTGATTGTGCCACTAAATAATTTAGGAAAAGAATGAATTTTTATTCATTTTTTCTGTCCTGGGGCTAATAATTGACATGGACATTTTCAAACGCATAAGCCCACAGTCATGCTAGTCAGAATTTAGTCACAAAGCATTGCATGAATTTTGTGCTGTTGTTGCCTTATCCTTTTAATATTCAGCTATGACATGTCAAAATCAACATGAAGTCAGTGCGGGTACAATTTCAACCTGATTCAAAGATGAAGCCGGGAATCACCAGACTTCTGTAAAACATATGCTACAGGATCAATGAACATATAACTCAAACTTCGACTTACAGATATTTGGCTATTTTGAGTCATTGTGCTGTGATCCTGTACTGAGGTAAATATCTTCCATAAAACAATTCCCAATCATTTCAAGTTCTTTACTTTGTCAGAAACACAGCCCTTCAGGGCACTGGTATGTGCATTTGCAGTCTAAAGAAGGAAATCTGGACAGTGATTTCCCTTTAACACCACACTAGTGGACAAGGCTTTTGTGACCAAAATTAAGCAGGAGGAAGAATGATTATTACATAACTCTGTTGCCATATCCATTTGATTGTTACATATTTATCCATCCATATATCCATTTGATTGTTACATATTTTTTATTGTAATCACATCCAGCTAATGCACTTTATACATGCAATGTTGTGCAGTTGCATGAGGCAAACCTAAGGATGAAAACGGGGCCACGTATTCCTACTGGCAGGAAGTTCCATGCTAACATTTGTTTAACCTGTACGACCTTTGCCACGAGCCAGCCTCAGGCCTCTCACAAACTCTGGAGAGATTTCCCAGCCTGTCTCCCTGTTTCAATCCAACAGACATTTTGTAAGCTGATGGGACTAATGAGCAAAAAAGAAAAAAAAAACGGCTGAGACAGAGGCGAGTTAGTCATGACGGGATTAAATATTCATGGTGTTCCTTTTTTGTGTGTGTTAAGATCACCGTCAGCATTTCTGGGGGAAAATAAATAAATACATTGAGGAAGAACCTGACAGTAAAAAGCCATTGGTGGAAAAGGCTAACTTGAACAATTCCTCTAAACCTTTAAGCGCTTAAGTTTCTGTAATTGTCACAAGTCCAGACAAAGAAAAAGTATCTTTCGTTCACTTGTTCTCTCTTTGTTCTGTGTCTCTGAAACTCAAACTGTTTTGTTTTTGACACAGGGTTTTTTTTTTATCGTCAGGGACGTTAGTTCAGTCACTAAAGACTTTAGTGAAATTTACACCCATTTACTGTTTGATCATATGATCTTTTTTGCCTTTTAATGGATTTGTGTATTGCTGTGACTTCAGAAATGAAAGATTTTTATTTAGATAAAAGATCCACTCAAGGTTATTTTGTCTTGCTTTCCCTCTGATTTACATAATGTCTTATTTTGTGAGAGATATTTAGAGCTTAAGACCGCGTGAGATAAAGATGCATTATTTATTGTGTGTTCATTTCACTGGAGGTGTCATTGTTTTGCATATGGTTGCCTCAGCTCACGAAGGCGTTTGGTGATGCCTCCCACAGCGAAAGCCTCACGCTGTGCTCTACATCCCCCTTCTTAAAGGAAGAAGACAAATGGACAAATTGTTGACATATCCACTGAAATGGATTTCAGGACTTTATTGAGCATTAAAAAATATACAGCAAGGAAAATAATATTTTCCATTTTCCCCAATATTCATGTTCTTCCATCTCAAAATCTACTTCCAGATGAACGATCCATGATCCAATGTGACAAAATGAAAAAAAACAAAAAACAAATCAGTCTTAGCTCAACAGCAAAAGTTGAAAACCACTGAAACTGTTTGAAAGCATGTCTGTGTTTTCGTATTGTTCACTGAAAATCTGTAAAACAGGTTTCGAATAGGTTTGGTTTGAACGGGAGTGAAATCACAGACTAGGTGGTCACATCTGACTCTGCCTCTTCGTAGAGTTCTGCTAGTTTCTGGAACTCGGGGCCCCAGTCGTCCAGGTAGTTATAATCCTGCTCTGACGGCGCGGCGACAGAGTCTAGAGGACTGATGGATCCCGTGGACGAGCCCTGACCCTCGAAAGCGTAGGTCTGGAGGGAGTCGTAGGGTGGCACGCTGGTGTCCATGTCGGCCTCCATCAGTCTCTGCTTGATGAACTCATGCACGTCCACCTCGTCCAGCTCCACGCACGGGCTCCTGCGGCCGTGGGGCAGGGAGCAGTGACTCCTCGCCTCTGGACGAATGTCCCGTCGGAACTTGAGCTCCTCTGCGGCGGCCGGATTGCGAAGAGCGATGATGTCGAAGGCCTCCGTGTCCTCCTCGCCTCCGCCCTCGTCGTCGTAGGTCACCACGTTCTCTCGGATGTCCTCCTCAGAGATGATCAGGGGCTCTTTCTTGCTCCGCCTCAGCGTGATGAAGAGGACGACGATTGCTGCAAGACAGCAGGTTTGTTTTTTTATTTGCAAACGGTGAGACAGATGGCGGTACGTAAGTAAACAAAAGCTTTCTCTAACATTTACAGGTACAATTCTGGAAATTGACTGCAACTGTTTTCATGTCTTCGTATTTTTTTTCCCCATTTCCTTTTAATAGAATTGCCAATCCCCTTGTCAGTTCTTCTTAATTTTCTGCCTGCTAAATAAACATGTTTTGATTACTGAACAGCATGTCCAATAAGTGCAGGTCAATTTTGTGAGGACATTTATTGTATTTTCAATCAAGACCATAAAACCGGTCAAGCATTGTAGTTGCATGTCAATAATGCGCATATGCTGCTGTTAGCACGGGGGCCTGATGTTTCCCTGAATGCTGTCGACGATCATAATGCACAGATTAAAATCCCTTCAGGAGTGAACTAATGTCATAAAACTACATATAATCTATTGTCAAAAGGAGAAGAAAGTCTGTCCTTGGTAAGACATATATATAGCCTCTTTAGTAGTAGTAGTGAAACACATTTCCTTCTGATGACACATTCATGTATTCATAACATTGTTCTTAATGGTTACTGCTCACAAAAAAGCTTTTTCTTTGCAAAGTTAAATAAAAAGAAACTTTGCCTATATCAAGACAGCCACTCAGTATGAGACCTCTTACAGTTAAAGGAAGTCCAAGAATACAACTACAAGGTGGTTGTGGTATATAAATAAAAGTTGTAGGACTTAGTTCCTATCATCTCAAGAATGGAAAAACACATTAAGGCTGATCTAACATATTTACAAAGAGAAAGCTTTCTGCAAACAATGCGCAACGGCTCGTTTGTTGTCAAGAAAACTGTAGGGGGTTTTAAAAGAGAGGATCAAAGTAGACTTCAGTAGAATCATGTACATCTCAGGCTTGAAATGTGAAGCCAAACACTTAAGAGATTATTCCCACAGTCAACATTAAGGCAGAAATGGTCAAACTGAGCTAACGGGTGTATGGAGCTACCAGGATACAAATGAAATTTTGTTACTTAATTTTTCTTTAAACCACCACAAAACTGCTGGGTCGACTTAAAAAAGGCCACATTATAGCACACTTAATACACATCAGCAACTCAAATTGCTTCACAAAGGCATTAAGATGAATTCATTTCAAATATAAAACAATGTAAATGTGTAATTGGACAAAAAAAGGATTAAAAAGAAAGAAAAAGTAACTTTAAATGTGTCCACAGTTGGATTACATTTAATATGAATAGGAAGTTTAGACTTCATCAAGCTCACTTTTTTATTGTGGAAACTTATATAAAATATTACCATGATAAAAATTTCTGTAATGTTATTGTCAACCAGAAATTGGCATTTGATTACGCCAGACCTTTAGATTACAATGGTCTTAATTTGTAAAATGTTATGTTAGAAGCACAAGCCTAACTAATGATCCAGCCCCAGGTACAAACAGATGGAAGGTCATCGTACAGCCTGCAGTTATGCTTGAAGCCTCATGTGAAAAAAATTAAATATAAACATATCATATTATACAACTATTACTTTGTGTCTTTATCGTGTAACTTCAGGGCCCATAATTGAGCATTAAATGGCACGCCGCTACTTGTGCCTGGTTGAAACTACTTACAAGGTGTATATGTTTGACATAATGATAATAAATTAATATTACTAAAAAAATAAATAAAACTGCAGTAGGTGTCATTATGTTTCATTAACAGAGAAAGGTGACAAAGAGGACCATCATTTTTAACAATTCAAGATAACGAGACACTCAAAATTAAATTAATTGCAAGGCCATAAGCATTATTAAGTTATTTAGCAAAGAAAGCTTATTGGCTTTACTTATACATCTTATGACAAAACTCATTAATTTTATAAACGTTTTTCTTACATGTGATAAAAGGATGTTGTATATGATTGCTGGTTTGGTACACTTTTCTCTCCAGGTGGGGGCAGGGAGGGTGAAATGTGCTATTTGCTTATCGCTAAAGTTATTAAAACACTTGATTGCAAAAGACATAGGTGAATGTGTGAAAGGACACAGGTCAATCACCAAGCAATGCCGTGAAATAGATAAAATAAATAAATAGATAGATGTTTAGGAGCTATAATCAACTCAGTTAAAACATTTTCACTTCTCACTGTGGAAGAATATCAACTATATTCCGAAGAATTGCACCTTTAGTAATGCTCATATATCTGAGTTCTACTTACTGCTTAGGATTTCCAAGCTTTGCATTTATCCTGTCTATCAAAAGAGTGGGTATAGAAAATGAATGGATGGATGTTTGTTTCAGTTTTGTTGTTTTTTTCATATATAGGGACAGTGCAGAGCTGAAAGTTTTAGGCAAATCTGACAAATAATATTAATCCAGTTCGATACATTTT